GATGTACTGTTGTACTTTTAATTCCTTTAAATATTTAAGATTGTGATTTTATTATTAACTGCGCAGAAATAAAATTTTCATGCTTTTTGTTTCCAAGTTTTGTGCAGTTAATGGGATACTTATTTTAATTTTATATTTTGAACAAGGCAGACATAGCTTGTTTAAATGAAAATGATGACTTCTTCCTATGATGACATACTGACGAGTTAGGTGTGTTGCAATATTGACGAGTTGAGAAAATCCTTTTTTTTTTTCATAAAAATAACATATTTATTTGTGAAGTAAAAAGGAATTTTTACTTCAGTAAAAAATTTTTGGTTTAAAAAACACATAAAACGCAATATCTCTAATGCGCATGCGCAAAATCCTACATTGCTGCTGTGTAGCACGAAAGGGTCAGTTAGGATGATTACGCGTAATTTCTGGCATTTCTGAGGATAGACACTTAGGTCAAATGAAATCATCGAGTTATCTTTGATGCTAAGCAGCCCCATCCTCCCCTATGCCATCATAGGAACAGTAGTTGCCTATGATGGCATACTTGTGCTTTTTTTTAAATAAAAATAACTAATAAAAAAATAAAATTGATGAAAACTCCTGGGGTTATTGTTGTTTAACATGTAACAAAGAATGTATCCATGTCAAAACTTTTGTTCTTGATCTTCAGGATACTGAATAATGAAGCTTCAAAGTTAAGTATGCCATCATAGGCGCCTTTTCCCTATTTAAAAGGGATAAAATTAACCAGTTTCTTCTCAGCTGACTCTCGGTTAAGAAGAAAATTAGATCGAGTTCAGAAGAAACGGTAGAAATCGAAATTACAAAGCACCTTTGTCTTCTTCAGACGATTACATCAATGAAGACTGGCTAAGTTGCTCAACATTAGAGTAAAAAAACAAACAGATTTTGTCTAAAGAACCTATTGTCTTAGAAAAAAGAATATCGGCTGCAACACCTGCCAAAAATTATAAATATTTGGCGTAGAAGCAAAGATGGGAATGAAAATATCTAAAGAATATACCAATAATGAAGTATCTTATGACGGCAAAAATAGATGGAAACAGCTGAGTTTACTGTGAAAAAAAAATCTTAATCACAAAGAATCTGCTGAAAATCAAGCTGCATTAAAAACGGTCGCATAAGCTAAACTCTTCAAAGTTTTGAGCGCGTGAGATAGTTGTAACAGAAAACATTTTTCAAATTCCGTATAAAGTTAAAAAAAGAACTTAGCCCTTAAATAAATTTGGAACGGAAAATGATTTACAAGAAATGAAAGTTTTATGCAATGTTAATGCATTGAGTTTGTAGAATGAAGAATCGCATTCTTCATTCTACAAACACATTGATATTGTCAATCATATAATTGGCAAAATTTTACAAATAGTACAAAATATGTATTTGTGAAAGTAAATAGTAAAATTTAGTAAAAGTAAAAGTAAAAAGTAAAATATTGATTGTTAAGTCAATCACTAAAATAAAATATTGATTGTTAAGTCAATCACTAAAATAAAATATTGATTGTTAAGTCAATTACTAAAATAAAATATTGATTGTTAAGTCAATCACTAAAATAAAATATTGATTGTTAAGTCAATCACTAAAATAAAATATTGATTGTTAAGTCAATCACTAAAATAAAATATTGATTGTTAAGTCAATCACTAAAATAAAATATTGATTGTTAAGTCAATCACTAAAATAAAATATTGATTGTTAAGTCAATCACTAAAATAAAATATTGATTGTTAAGTCAATCACTAAAATAAAATATTGATTGTTAAGTCAATCACTAAAATAAAATATTGATTGTTAAGTCAATCACTAAAATAAAATATTGATTGTTAAGTCAATCACTAAAATAAAATATTGATTGTTAAGTCAATCACTAAAATAAAATATTGATTGTTAAGTCAATCACTAAATAGCATCATTTGAAGCTGTACAGAAAAGGTCAATTTATTTTTCGCCAATCAATTTATTAAAAGATTTAGAGGAACTTGAAATCGTTATGGTTATTGAAGTATTTGCTACTTTATTTGGATGTTTTCATTTTTATAGAGTGACAGAAGAATACATGAAAAATTATTTGTTTCTGCAGTATGTCATAGCGTTAAAGTGATGTTAGCGCCAAAGTGATGTTAGTATCTAACTGCATCAATTAACTGCTAACTAAAAAAAATTTCTTCTATTAATAGTTTGGCAATGTGCTAATGATTGATTAAAAAAATTAGTAGATATTTTTAAAACAATTTAAGGAACCATTAGATTTAAACTATTTATTGATAAGCTTTATGTCGTGCATTATGCTTCCCACAATAATAGCAGGGAGTTACTTGATCTTAAGCTAGTGAATCATTTTGAAGAAACAATGGTTGAAAAAAATGGTTGCTTGTTGACAAAAATATTGAGTTAACACAATGAGCTTGCATCTTAGACCAAAAATATTGTCCGGAAGACATCAACGCTCAATCTGGGATTTAGAAAAAACTAAAACAAGAAATTTGTCAATAAGACTTCAATTAAAAAATAGAGAAACTATTTGTGGATTCCGTAAATACTTTGTAGAAAAAATATGTTCTGAAAAACTACGTTATTTGGTACACGTTCTACATATCTCCAATTCTTTAAGTAAATTCAAACACAGATTTTCACTGATTAATTTATTCATCACGTCAACAAGAGTTTCATTAATGACCAAAATAGTTTCCGTGTTGTTTTTCATCAAATTAGTAAAACCATCACTCACAAGCTTTTCCTTTAAAGTATGTTGATTTGTGGTTACTTTGGAGAAGGTATTTAGCTGTAGACACTATTAGCTTTGGAAAGAGACAAGATAATTTTTCCGACAAAAATTGTAAAAAACTCTTCTATTGCATTCTATAAAATACAAGTAAAATAAAGTACAAATGAAGATAACGGTAAAAAAAACAAAAAATAAAAATAAAAAATATGAAAATTCGAAAAAGACCATAAGGTCATGTCACAACTACTAAAGTTAGTATTTTAACTTATTGATAATGGTGTTTATGGTTATTTGGGTGCTTGTGTCAACTAAAAAAATTTTTTTTTTTTAAGATTTTAATTTATGATATTGCCTATAATTTCGAAATAAATATCATGTCTCTTGCAAAATAAAACGTTGGTTAGTGCTGGTTTTCTGATTGGAACAAGTAATGGAGAAGGCTTAGTCTAACAACGTTTTCTCGAGTGTATGCAGTTCGTGCTGTAAAAAATAAAGTTTGAACTTATTGTATTTATTGTAGTTTAGGAAAAGTCATTTTAAACAATTAACAAAGCTTTTGTAGAGCTCCCGAGCAAACAAATCTCTCTCGTGTTTAATCTGTAATTTATGGGAGAATATACTTTTAACATCAAAAGCACAAACAGGAAAACAATTCATACACGCTTACTAGGTTATTTCATGAAGACATACAACGAGATCTGAAATGGCAAATTTTGTGAATTTTTTTTACTCGATTACTGATACTGGACTACAACAACTGCAGTCACGGTTCCATACTCTTATGATGTATGTGACAATCTTGTATAAAAAATTTGCTTATTCTAGGAAGAAATTTATGAGGACTTATAGAAAATGAAGACTTTTGATATTTTTTAAAACGTTCGAAGAAAACTACTTGCTTCAATAACAGAACTAAAGACTTGCTTCAATACCAAAACTAAAGACGCTTAAATACCAGAACAAAAAACATCATACGTTCTTTTTATAACACTTTCAGTAAATGTTGCAGTTTTTGCAATATATGCAAAGTTAATTTTTAATAAAAATACCATGTTTGTAGTGAAATAAAAATACACTTTTATGCAAATATGTTAAAAAACCTAGATAAAATGTTAAAATGTTTATCATCTCAACCTCCGGAACCTATGGCAGTGTCATCACAACCAGCACCATTAACTGCACCATCTCAGACAATGTCTTCTAAATCTTCATTCTATAATCTACACAATGTGCTTTTTTTAATTAATTATTCTTTTAATTACTAATTAATTTGCGAAATTTATTCTCCCCGAATGTGAAGGTAGAATGAAAGTTTTTTCATTTCAATTACAAATCTTTCAAAAAAATTATTTGATTTTTATATAACTAAATACACCCAAAAATTTCCTGCAACTGCAAAAAAAAAAAAAAAAAAACATTCGCTACTGCTTATTTGTTGAACGATTATTTATTCGTTAGACGAATATTTATGCCCCTTTACTTCGAAACCCGTGTTGTCGGCCCTGTCATTCTCTGTTTATAACATTTTGAACCTATATTATTTTTGCTTTTTAAGATATAATGTTAAAAAATAAAAATTATTTGTAATTACAGAAATAAAATCAAAAAAACCAACAACAATGGAACTATGCAAAAGTAAATAAATAAAACTTAATACTATCAAAATAGCTTCTGATAATAACTCAATATTTTAAAATGCATTTGCAATGCAATGGTATTTTATTCATAAAATTAAAATATTTAATTAGCTAATTTGTTTAATAATATTTTAATACATTTATACTTAATTAAAAAATTTAATTATAGTTTAATTATAGTTTAATACATTTATACTTAATTAAAAAATACATTAAAGTTATACTAATTTGCTCAGTTAACTAATACATTTGTTCTTTATTTAAAACCATTCATAAATTAGTTTTATAGATTATAAAATAGTTTTACCACAAAAAAGATTTCTGCATAAAAAATATTATATTGTTAATGTATTTTTTTTAATAAATAAATAACTTAACAATTACTAAAATTATTTGATGAACGATCGAAGAACTTAAAAGCCAATACTGATTAAATGACGTCCTCAATAGAAGAATAAAAATAAGTCTTTCAGTAAATGTTATATAAAAACAAATTTTTAAATTATTTTAGTGTTTAAAATAAAAGACTTTTTAAAAAACGAACTTTTTTTGTAAAAAAAAAACAAGAACCAAAAAAACGACACTAGCCGCAATAATATTTTAGTTAAAATAGTTCTTGATTTCTTCGGACGTAAAAGAAGAGCCTTAAGAGTTATCTAATTCAACAATAATTTTAAAGTTTATAATGAAATAATTATAATTAGCAAGTTAGTATCACTTGCTGAAGTCTTTTTAATCAATTGTAGTTTTTTGGAGTTTTTTTCTTGATTAGTGTTGACACATTTAAGTCAATGCATTTAATGTAAAAGAAAAAATTCTTGAACCAGGTTAAATAAAAATTCTTGAACCAGGTTAAATAAAAATCTATTTTTAAACATATCGGATAAAATGTCTGATCGTGAAGAAAAACATACTGTTGAAACAGTTGATCAAGAATTGAGTGACTACTCTAGTAATGGTAGTCCAAGTATTACTGGTGAAGATTTAAAGCCTACTAAAGTTACAAAGCAAAAGCGTAAGCGAATTTTGAAGGATGTCAATGCTCCTAAAGCACCTCTTACTGGGTATGTTCGTTATTTAAACGAGCACAGAGAAAAATTTCGTATAGAAAATCCAGATATGCCTTTTCATGAAGTTACTAAAATATTAGGTCAAAAGTGGTCAAGTTTAGACCAGTCAGAAAAACAGCAATACCTGTATGAAGCTGAGAAGGATAAGGAAAAGTATATGAAAGCTCTTCAAGGTAATTTGAAACTAAATATATTTTTATATTTTTTATGTCTAAATAGTTAAATAATGCATTTGTTAAATTCACCATTTTACTTTTAAATTTTACTACTCTTAACAATTTAATTAGATACTCAAAGACTTAAGATTATTTAACGACTTAATAATAAAAAAATAGTATGATAATTTAAAATTAATAATAACATAATCCTTCTTCTGGAAATAAAATTTCCAGAAGAAGTCTTTTTTTTATTATTATTTGTTAAAAACTATAATATTGAAAAATCTGTATATTTTTTTTATAATAATTTAAAAGAGAAAAAAAAAAATGATTTTTTGCATTTTAAGGATGATTTTTATTTTTATTTTGATCTTAAATATTTGTTAATTATGTTCTTTCTACTTTTTATAATTTACTTTTAATAAAAATAATCATTGTCTTGTCTTATCTAGAAAATGTCTAGTTTTAAAATAAAAAATAAATGGTGACAGAAATGGTTTTTTATAAAGAAAAAAAAAATCCAGATTTTAACTGCATTTTTCTTCTTGTTAATTAGGCTACCAGCAGTCTTCAGCATATAAAGAGTTTCAAAAAAAGAAACGACAAGAAGCTGATTTTTTGAATGATACAGGGAAAGTTAAATGTGATGTAGAGAATAGTTGTTCTCCTCTAAAGCAAAATACTGAACAATTGATCAGAGGACCAAGAATAACTTCTACTGAAGATGTTCATATACCCATATTTACAGAGCAGTTTTTGGACTATTCCACAAAACGAGAATCTGAGTTACGACAACTGAGGAAAGACAATTCTGTACTCGAGGAACAAAATGCTTTACTTATTAAACAAATTGAACATATGAAAAGTGTAGTAGAACAAGTTAAAAAAGAAATAATTCAACAGGAAAATGAAAACATATCTATGCAAAAATATTTAGATCAATTTAAAAAAACTTTAGTGTCATCTTTTGAGCAAGTTGTTCTGCCATCTTCATTGCCAGGTGAGCCACAAAAATGGAGTTGTAGTAATGTTGAGACTAAGTTAGCTGTTTTATCTGAATATTTAACTTCGAGTAACAGTGAACCAGTTTTGGCAATGCAACAAAAAGTGAAAGACATTATTAACATTTTGAAATACTGAAGCTTTCTGATCATTGTTAGAGTTATTTAGCGTGATAAAGTTTTTTCTTTTTTAAATGCTGTATATTGTTTGTATAATTTATTTGTTTTTATTTTTAAAAACTCAAACAACAGCTTTTATCAATTGTTCGTTATCATTATTTGAACATAAATTTGAATATTAAAAAAATGAGCATTTTAAAATGATTAATACACTTTTTTGATTGTTGGTTGAATAATTTTTATCAGCATAGTGTGGGTTGATGAACCATTTGTAGCATTGGTTTAGTAAATTGTTGTTGTTATATGTATATAAACAGAATATATTTTTTCTATAGAATTATTTAACTAATCTTAGTTTAATAATATTATTCCATGACCAAAAAGGAGTTCAAGTCAAAAAGTTTACTCTTGAGTTTTTTGCCATAGAATAATTGAATTGAGCTTGGTTTAGAGAGTCTTTTTTTATTAGTAAATAGAATCCATCCAGCTTACTGTCATAATGATATGAATGCACGCACACACAAACTATTCAAAAAAGTAAGTGTATTCCAATTATTTGCCTTTAAACTCGAACCTTAGCTTAATTTTGTTTTTGCAACAAGTTTCACTCGCTATGTAGAATTTGTTTTACAAAATTAAAATATCTAAAATATTTCAAAATGTATTTGTTTTTCAGTTCAATCTTCTTTTAAATTATTTTCTGTATTTTTTTATGGATATTTTGCTATTAAATATCAATCCCTGTATCAGTTTATAAAGTTTGAGCAAACTTTTTTTTTGTTTCTAAATTTTTTTCAATTTTTATATTAGAAGATGATTAGCAGAAATATATGTTTTCTGATTATTCTTGCTAAAAAGTAACAATAAACGAATAATGTTCGTCAATCATCACGTTTATTCAAAAATTGAAAGAGGTTTTAATTATTTATTATTATATAAATTAATTGAATTTTAAGGTGACAAATCGTGTTAGTTTTTGTAAAATTTTTATAGAATGAAATCATCTCGATTATTTCAAAAGTTTAGTTTTTTGATAATAATAAAAAAAAAACGTTTCATAAGTTTTAAAAAAACAAAAGCCACATGTCTGCCATAAAACCGCCCCGGAATCAAAGTAATTATATGGACATTTAAATTATTATTTTATTTATTTAACACCCAATTTACAAGGTAAAAAGAAAAAAATAAGAAAGTTATTTCGGATGACTTTGCTTAAAAACGTTTTCTTCCAGAATTAGCTTGAAAACTCCTCTTTGCTCTTTTGCATTCCAGCACTCTATTGCATACTTCAAGTTTCGTTCAACTTCGGAAGGAATTTTACTTTTAGAAAGTGGTATTTTTACCTTCTTTTTATTTTGAATTAGGTTTTGAAAATTTAATATCTGAAGATGGCATAGTTCCTGAATATCACTAACAAACGAATGTTGAAATAACGGGTGTTGCAGTTGTGAAAAGATAATGTCTGCAGTTGTTTTGTTATTAAGAAGTCGAAGGAACAAGTTTAACTTATTTTGTTGAACACTTTTTGAAATTTCCTGGATTTTAAATAACGAATTCATATAGTTTTTACTATGTTTTGAAACATTTAAAAACGATTTTAGCGCACTCCTTCCAATTATATCTAGCTTTTTCATCAGACCAGTATTATTTTCACATAGCTCCATACCATAAGTTAAGGTGGGGACTGCCAATGATTTATATATATAGGAAATAGAACTGGGGTGAGCAAACCGGATTCCAGATTGAATAAGAGTTTGAACAACAGCTCTAAAGTTTGATATTTTTTCATCAACATTTGAATAACCGAGTGAAGCAAAAACTGAATGTTTAGTATCCCATGTGAATCCCAGATGTCTAAGTTTATTCTGAAGATTTTTTTTATTACCAGAAATTGTTATTGTATTAGTTTGTATTTGGGCTTTACCTGAGATCAAGAACTCAGTCTTTTCGGCATTCAGTTTAATACAATTTAGATTATTGTAAATATTGCATGTTTTTATAAGCTTTTTGAGACCAGATAAGGTAGAGCTTAAAAGTATTATATCATCCGCATAGGCTACCACACCAGTAAAGTTACCGTTTATAGATGTGCCAACCATACCCTGATTTTTAATAGTTTCGAGAAGACTTTCAGTGTAAATATTATAGAGGTGAGGCGAAAGAATTGATCCTTGTCTTACTCCTTGGTTTAGAGGAAAAGAGTTTGATTTACAACCTTGATATGAGACTGTTGCGCTACTATTGTTATACAACGAGGAGATAGTGTTAACTATACATAGTGGTAATTTTTTATCGAAATATAATTTTTCAAATAGGATATTCCAGTTACAGCTATCGAAAGCTTTTTCTGCATCTAAAGAACATAGATACACAGGGGAATGGTTGCTGTTGTAATGTTTAATTGTTTCGCTTATTAGAAATTCAGCATGTAGCGTTGAAGAGTTAGCATTGAATCCAAATTGTAGGGAGTGAGTATCTCTAATATCCGGACATATAATTAAGATCAGGTATTCTAGAACCTTTGTAAAAATTGGTATAATACTAATACCACGATAGTTGCTTGGGCTATCTAAAGACTTTTTGTACGATTTAACAAGGGGTACAATAGTTGACGTCGACATTGATATTGGAGTCGATCCATAATTAATAGAGTAATTAAAAAATTTGATGAGCCATTTTGTTAAAGTATCGCACTTTGCGTATTTCAAATGTTCTGCTGAGATACCGAAAGAATCAGGAGATTTTTTTAATTTTAAATTTGAAATAGCCCCAATTATATTTTCTTCAGTTATTGTTACATCATCATGTTTTGTACAAGGGGGAATTCTCTGATTTTCTTTACGATGAGTTATTTTTGGAGTATTCAGTACTCTTTCGAAGTGGTTTGCGAATTCTGAAGTAATAGATTCTTTGTCTTTTTTATTATTTATGGTAAATAATCTAGAATTTATGTCTTTGTTTAAACATCTAAAAGCATTCCAAAAGTTTTTTGGTTTAGTATTTTTTAACTTTTCAATTTTAATATATTGTGCGCAAATTTTATTATTTTGAGCCGACTTGACGGCTTTACGAAAGTTTTTACGAGCCATTTGGTAACGGTTAAATGATACCGAGTTTAACTCTTTAGAAAAACCAGAATCTCTCCATTTTTTAAAATGAATTGAAAGAATAGTTTTAGACCGACTTAATTCAGGTGTCCACCAAGATTTTGAATACAAACATTGCTTTTTATTTTTTAAAGTCTCCTTAAAAGCTATTTGAGCGCTGTCAGTAATTTTTTTATAGATTTGGAGAAGGTCGTATTCATAATCGTTAGTAAAATTAAGATTGTTAAAGCGATTGGTTAAATGAACATTGTAAGAATTTATAAAGTTAGAATCGTTCCAAGCGTAGCTAGGTATATTAGTATCTTCTGCTAGTTCAATGGTATTGCATTCGGTGTACTTAACTTCAACTGATATTGATAGTGGTAGGTGGTCGCTCAAATTATTTGAGCATTCAGGATGAACAATGCATTTAAGATTTATAAAACTTGTATATTTTGATACGGCGAAGTGATCAATATATGACGAATTCGGTAGTGTCTGGTGTCGATATGTATAATTAGGGCCAGAACCTTTAGTTACATCAACTAGTTCTAATTGATTTGTTTTTAAAAATTCCGATAAGTGCACAGAATAACTATTTCTTTTAGAATTTGATCTTTCAAATAAATCATACATTTGGTGAGGAAAGGATTGGAAGTCACCTGCTAATATTATATTGCCGTTACCTTCGTAACTATCAATTAGACCTTTAACAGTATCTAGTTGACCTTTATATTCTTCCAGAGACGAGAGGTTATTCCGCGATGAGGAGAGGTATAACCCAATAACTATAATATTAAGATTGTTTTTTTCGAAATTTATTGCTAAAATATGGTCGTCCTCGTAAATTACCCTTATATTTTGGAATTTATTTTTTCGTACAAAAAACGCATTTCCGCCAAACGGTCGGCCTTTTTCATGTTTATTAGACTGATGGAAATAAATGGAGTGTGTGTTATTAGATATATCCCTTATTACGGAGTATTCAAGTTTAGATATCCAATGTTCACATAAGAAAGTTATATCATAGGATTGTATAAGTGACTTTGTAAAATCAATGTTTGACTTAAGTCCCTGACAGTTGAAAGTACATATATCGAAAGTTGTTGAAGATTTGTTTTCTTCTCTTATGGTGCTTGGATCCATTTTCAATTAATATTTGTTATTCCCCCGTTGGACACCAGATGATCCACGTTAGAATATATGCGCTTTTTACGGAATGGTTTAATGATGATATTATTATCCCATAATGAAGGGTTGAAAATTTTATCTTTTTCTGAATTACTTACGGAGACTCTATACGATCTGTTGAATTCGTTTTCTCTGTTTAAAGTAATTGATATAGGCGTAACACCTAATTCAGTTTCCATATACAATTTCATATGTTCTTCGTTGATTCGATTGCTAACACCACCTATAAAAACTTCAAATCTACGAATTATTCGACTACCAGCAATAGTCTCAATAATGTGCGTAGTAATTTAATAAGTTTTACAGTTTTACTACGTACAATAATGTGCGTAGTAATTTAATAAGTTTTACAGTTTTACTACGTACAATAATGTGCGTAGTAATTTAATAAGTTTTACAGTTTTATGGTTGATTTTGTTAAGTTTTACGGTGTATAATTTAAAGCATTGTTTTGAAAGTGCTATTATTTTGTAAACAACATTTCCCGAGCTTTTCAGTATGCAAGCTTTGGTAATAATAACTTATTTGTAAAAAAACTTTGACGCCAAAAATGATGTTTTTGTAAAAATGCAATATATGTTTGTTTCACAACTTCGTTTTGATATTTTTTGGTATTTGAATTTTCTTTACAAGCTCGGTGTAGTTAAGGCAATTTTAAAATATTATAGCGTCTGTGTGATATTTCGTTGACTAGGGCATATTTTCGTTAAATGATCAGGTCTGTGAATTATAAAAAGACGGAAAAAAGTTAAAATAATATAAATGTTTATAGCGAAAAAACCCAGACCAAAGATTCTTTTTTTTTAAATTGTTTTCTTAAAATCACAATCGCTTGTCCAAATTTTAATAAGATTTTAAACAAATACGTTTTTTAGAGGAAATGAACATTATAGTTTAACATTATGATCTGTTCTGATCGTTTATTGGCAATTTTTTTTAATTATAAGCTCTTTCTTGGTCGGAACTTTAGTATTTTTTGCGAAAATTAGTAGAAAGATTGCGTTTTGACAATTATATATAGTTAATATACGTTTAATATATTTAAGTTTAATATATTTAG